ACTTGACCATAAAAACTAAGAATCAACATTTTCATGCTGTTCCGGAGAATTCCGACACACCGGACAAGTCCCGTTTAATTTCAGCCACTCGTCGATGCAGTCTGCGTGAAAACAGTGTTGACACAATGGTATCGTCCTAAGCGTCTCCTTTGGCTCGTACTCTGAGAGACAGATAGGACACGTGGCATCGTCTACTTTGGGCAACCTTTTGCTCTCTCCCAATACTATTTTTGGATACGATTCTATGGTTGGCCCATCTAGGCCCATTATTATGATATTGGACTGTGAAGAATGAGCTTGAGTATCGTTTGTTTCCAAGCTTGGAACAAGACGACGTCGTTTGATGCAGGAGTTGATTTTGCTGTAAACGAAACATAGAAGACCAAAAAGGATTAACGTTCCAGGGATTCCGGCACCGATGGCTATTGCATAATGAGCTCCCCTCGGAATATCTGAGATTAGAGGATGAGATTTTGATTAGTTGAGAAAGCAACAAAAAATGGTAAGTACTAGTATAATTGAATACTACTATTTCTTTAATCATGCATGAGTAAATTATGTGTACTAAAAGACAAAAATGTAATTGGTAGAAGAGAAGACTCATAAGTAAATGGGGTAACAATTGAATGAGTTGACTAAACAAACAAAGAAGTAGGGTAAGTTACGCAAATTAAATTGGAGATAAGTCAATGCATTGGAGCTTTCATTATTACGGCAACGACCTTGTGTCCACTTCGTGATTATCACCCAATTTCTCAATTAATGTTTTGTTCTTCCTCGTAATACGTATACGAATTGTTTACTTGCAAGGATCTAAAGTAACAAATTTCCAATCAAATTCTATCAGGATACATATTTTTAGTTACCTTACCATGTTTTTCATCGTTTTTTTTTTAATGTGAATGTTAAAGAGTTATTTTTTACCTTTTTCCGTTTCACAAAAAAAGTCATTCTAGATAGTCTTTTATAGCTTTCTATTTTTTTTTGTTTATTTATTTTGCTAAACTTTTTCAAATTAAACGAAGTACGTATATGTTGTTATTTTTTACTTCTATTTTATTTTTAACCCAAAAAAAAATCTATATAAAAAGTAAAAACAGAAAACACTTTCTGATGTGCGTTTCACTTCACGTTCACAATCTTGATAATTATGGGAACTATTTGTATTTTTCGCCGCATAACTTTTAAAAGTTTTCGCGTTTTAGAAAATGAATATGCATCAGCATCATGCAGATGTGTACAGTGTACACCCTCATAAATGATATATCTAGTTTTATTTTATAGTAATTCATAAGTCAATATATTGTGTTGAAAAGTTTTTTTTTTTTGTTACAATGTTGAAAAGTTTCAAAAACAAAAAAAAAAACCTGTTGAATTGTCTCATGGGGTTTTCGGATTCACACAAAATAGAAGGGACAAAATAATTCGTTGTAAACTTGTCGTTCATCAAAGTTTC